CAATTTTCCCAACACCATTTATTAAATAGGCTATCCTTACCCCATTGTAACTTCTTGCTTCCCTTGTCATATACTAACTGCCCGTATAAGCCTGGATTTGCTTCTGGGCTTTCTATTCTGTTCCATTGATCTATATGCCTATTTTTATGCCAATACTAAGGTGCAGTCTTGAAAGTAACAGTTGTTTAGCATTGCTGTGCCAGTCTGAGGAAAACTTTCAGATGAAAAAGTCGTGCTCGCGTGGTAATTGGCACTTTAGGGAGGTCAACCAGTGGGAGCACTGGGGTGCCAGATAGACTGGGAGTTTGAGATGAGAGGCAGCCGGTCCAGGAGACAGCCATGGAAGTCCATTCATGTACTCTGTTCAAGTTATCAAGCCAACATGAAGTTAATTATTTAAAACTTTAATTACGACAGAAGTAAAAAGAGAAAGGCCTGTAATCTCACACCCTAGAGACAACAGTTGGTGTGTAGTCTTTGAGATGTGATTCTTATGCTGGTGCTGGCATATGATATAATATTGGTACTGTACTTGCTCTATTTCAAACACACTATAATGGAATTTGTTTGACGGTTTGCAGGACGAGCTGCCGATCCAAGTTTGTGGTAGTAAGAATGGTGAGAAATAGAGAAATCTAAGAAATCCCATAGAAGGAATTAATGAAGCTTAGAGAGGACTGGAAGGAAGGAATCAGCAATATTGCCCACATTTTCAGCCAAGGAGTATGGTACCGTTACTTATAGGTAAAAGTCAGACAGTGATAAGAAAGGATACGGATTGTAACTTAGAGTTAATGAGTTTGAGGCAAAGATGAACTATCCTGAGGGAGCCCTGCTGAATGACTTGGAAATACAGGGAGAAGAGTTTCTGTTGGGATGTGTTGTTGGGTGTTATTTTGAAAGGTTCATGAGAGCTGAAGCCTTCACCGAGTTGTCTCTTAGGGAACGGTGAGGAGAGTGGGGCCCTCGGGCACTTAGGGCAAAGCAGCTTACTGCAGTGAAGTGGGCGAGATTCGGAAGTGCAAGAAGCCTTCTCCACCTGTTACCATCCCGAGTGCCTCAGCTTGTCTCTGATAAAGACTCAATGAATGTCTGCTTAATGACAGAGGAAATCAGAAAAATATTTCACGAGTCTTTGAATATAGTCTAAAAATAAAGTATTTTTTCCCAAGGTAAAAGCTGTGTACTCCAAGAAAATTAGACACTTCAGAATCATAAAAAGGAAAAAGAAACCCCTCAAAATTAAACCAACTGGAGCAACCACTGTTAACATTTTGGTATATTGCTTTCAAGTCTTTTTTTTTTCTGTGATTTTTTTTTCTTACAATTGAGACATACTGTGTATATTTTGTATTTTCACCTAATATTACAGCTAAATATGTTACTGAAAAATCTTTGTGTCATTTTAATTGATTGCTGTGAACTGGTCTCTAGTAAATCCTCTTCCTGTTGGACATGGAGGTCATTGGTGGAAGTCTTAAAGGGAAGGTAGGAATTAGCTAGTTGGCCAGAGAGACACAGAGAATACAAAAGCAAAAAAGGGGAAAAGGATGGCATGTTTGGGGAAGTCACAGAAGTCCTAAATTCTGTCACTGTTTGAATATTTAAGGGGGTCAGTAAGTGGCTTTCTGTTCATTAGTTCTTAAGCTGTATGTCTTTTGCCCTCTTCACTTACCATGACGTAGTGTGATATTGTTTGTTAAAGAGTTCTGTAAAAAACATAATTTAGACTTGAACTGTAGTACATACCCTAGTAAATTGAAGGAAATAATCCACCAGTGTATTATTAGTAAAATAATAAAAATTGAACATTTTCAAACACTAAACAGATATCGAACAATACCCAAAAAGGAGGGAAAAAGGAACCACAATTCTGAAGTAAAAAAGTGTACCATCCTTTTCACTTAAGATTTGAATAACTTTTAATTACTCTCTGCTATTTCCAGCCATTTGTAATATATACCAATTGCTAGTTTCATGTCAGTGGTTCCTCTGCTTCTGTGAGCCACAGAGATTTTTCTAATGACCTTCCGGAAGGCTCCTGAAGGCTGTCCTCACCTCTCTTGTGGAGGAATCTGACTAACCTCCTCCCTTCAGCAGACTCTCTCCTTTGGTACTTCTTCCTGGAGCAATGTCTTCGTTTGAGCTTCTTTAGCAGGTCGGGCTCCTCAAGTGACAGGTTCTCCTCTGGGCAGGAGCTGACTTCTACTGACTGAGCACATTTGGCTTTTGAATGGACAGTATTTATTTCAAACCCCAGCCAACAAAGATTAGGTGGTTAAGCTGGAAGCCTTTCATAGCATCATTAGGAAAAGATTTCTTCATATCACCTGTCAAATCAACAGAAACAATATTAGCACCACAAAACTAAACCCAGAACATTGAAGAACAAAGTGGAGGAAAACAGTGTCTTCCTTAAAGGAGCGTTTAAGAACGGAGTAAAGGAATACATTCTTCTGCTTTAGAAGCATCAGAGTTTAATGTAGTTGAGCCAGTTTTCACTGAGTTTGTTGTAGGGCCGGAAGCTGGGGGTGCATAGACCATAAAAACAGAGCTACCTCTTCACTGACCGGAGCTCTCCACATGCTTTAAAGGGAGCGCTCAGCCTGAAGGGTAGTTAATTTGACTAAAGGGAGAAGATTTGGTGACTTTTGTTTTAGAAATTGCACTCATGCTTGGAAAAGCTTACTTTTGATATATTTGTCACTCATTATCATTTACTTGTGGTTTGTGTTTCAGTTAGTTTTGTGGACTGGATTTATCTTATATTTATAATTTGGAATGTTTTTGTGTCTTTCAGCTTTAGGGTACTTAAGCAATACAATAACTCCAAAGCCATTTTAGGTAAAAATAAATTAATTCATACTCTACTCATGTTCTAGGACTCTTTTTGGTGATGAGAAACCAATTTTATTGTCTTTAAGATTAATTTAATTCTAAGATCACTTTAGTGCAGTACTTCCTGTTTGAAGTCCTTGGGCCAAAGGGATGATGAGGAAAATGCAGCCATGAAGTCCCTGAAAAGGAGAGGTACACTTTTCCTCAGAAAATTTTTGAGAAGTTGGAATGGTGGCCTTTGCAGCAAGAAGTTTTCAATTAATACTTGAGAACTTACTCTATAATGTAATGTGTTGGTTGGCACCGCTGGCTGAAGTGAGCTTCTCTAGTTACAAGTTAGACCTTCTTCCTTTTGCAAATGTAACCTATTTGTTTTTCCTTCTTTTAGCATAATTCTCCATCCAGTGATGACAGTTCAGACTATAGCCTTGACTCAGATGTTGAACATACAGAAAGTTTCCACAAAAAAAGAACTGGTTTCTACAGGGATTATGACATTCCATTTCCTCAGGTATCGCCTTTTATTGTAATAAAGTATACATAATATCAAATTTACCATTTTAACCATTTTTAAATGTACAATTCACTGGCATTAAGCACATTCATGGTGTTGTGCAACCATCCCCACCATCCATCTCCAGAACTGTGTTTCCTCCCAAACAGAAGCTGTGTCCCCGTTAGGCAGCAGCACCCCAGCCCCCTCCAGCCCCTGGCGACCACTGTTCTTTCTGTCTCCATGAACCTACCTACTCGAGGGGCCTTATGTAGGTGGACTCATGTAGTATCTGTCCTTTTGTGTCTGGCTTTTTATACTTAAGTGTCCTCAGGGTCCATCCGTGCTGTAGTGTGTGGCAGAATTTCCTCCCTTTTAAGCTGACTGACATTCCCCTGCATATGTAAGCCACCTCATGGTGTCTGCCAGTCTTTTCTGTGGCCCTCTGATTCTTCTCTGTGGCCTTTACAGTTGAGCTTGCTCAGTGAGTGGCTATCGAATAAGAAGGTTTTAATAAAATGTCTTCTTTAAAATTTAAAAGGAATTATCCTCTAGTTAATAATTTTATCCAGTTAGGTGCATATTAGAATATATATGTGTATTATCCACAGTGTGCCTCATGGTTTTGGAGTGAATGATGCTGCATTTCATTTCTCAGAACATTCTAACAGCTATTCATTGGAATTATTTTTACTACTAATTGCAAAATTTTAATTAGTCCTGTTCAGCAAATGCTAATGTGTTGCTTAAATGTCATCATTTGCAGTTGGATTTTTCTTTTTTTTTTAAGAAATACTCAAAAGTCATTTGGAGACTCTTCCAGTGAGGGGGGGGGGGCAAAAACCTCAGGATGGGCATTGCTATTTTTGACAATGTCAAGTAATGAGATTTTTAAAATTTCAAAATATCAGGCAATGAGATTTCTGAGCTCTTGATTCATACGCTGTCACTAAAAGTAACTCCAGAAGAGGAGATACAGAATATTTAAAACAGTGGCAGAAGCATTGCAATAACTGCATAGCCTTGTTTGTGGGCCGCTCTGCATGACAGGGTCAGTCTGTAGTACAGACAAGAGCACATTTGTTTTAAGTGATTCGTGTTTTCTTAAACACTATAGTTATTTATTGTCATTACACTGATCTCTGTATATCCCTGCAGACTCAATGTAATTGTTTTTGTTTCAAAAATTAAATTTAAAAAGGGTAATTTTTTTACACATACCCATGTTTCATTTCCAGTGCTCTGTTTCTTCACGTAGAGCTGAGTTTCAATCTGTTATCATTTTCTTTTAACTTGGGGCACTTTATTTAGTCTTTTTATTAACATTTCTTATAGCTCGAGGTTGCTGTCAGTAAATTCTATCAGCTGTTATTTGTTGGGAAATTGTTTATTTCGCTATTTTTAATAACTATATTAACAACTTACAGAAAAGGTGCCACAACAGCCCCTGTGTGTCTTTCAGCCAGACCCATGCTTAGCACTTTACTGCTGGTGATTTGCTCTCCCCTCCTCTCCTCTTCCCAGGGTGCTGATTTGCCTTTAAACCCACCAATTAGGTTCTTCATTTCAGTATTTGTATTTTTCACATCTAGAAATTATTTGATTCCTTTTCAAACATTCAAATCAAATTTTTTTTTTTTTAAGCTGAGCCATCCTGCCACCTGTTGGCAGCTCAGTGGATGCTCAGCTTGGGCCAGGACACGAACCACTGTTGCTCAGAGCTCAAACTCTTGAGCGAGTTCTTAACCAACTGAGCCACTCGGCCAGCCCTCAAAGCACTTTTTATAGCTTTCAGCTCTGCTGAAAGTATCATGTCTTTTACTTGAAACTAGCAAGCACAGGTATATTGAAGCCTGTGTCAAATAAATCCATTGTCTGGAGTCCTTATTTCTATTACTTGTTGCTTTTGTGGCTCTCTTTCATGGGTCTTGCCTGGGTGTTTGTTTTTGTACTGTGTGCTGAGCAATGTATTTGCAAAATATAGTGTATTATATCAAAATAATTTGAGGCCTAGGGTGATGTTCATTTCCTCCAGAGAGGATTTTCACATGCTCCTTCCAGATTCCTAGTGACCCTCACAGACTTTATTCCAGTGTCAGGACTTGAGACTTTTCTGGGCCAGTGATGACCTGAGGTTGGACTGCAGCCTCCACATCACAGTTTGAGATTGCCCTCAAATTAGTGGGTGGGGGTTGCTAAGTCGTCCACTTTTTCCAGACTCTGGACTCTCCTTATCTTCCTGGAGATTAAAGGGGTAATGGGAGTGCTGCTGGACCTCAGCCAATGCGGTGCACTCGGGACTGTGATCTGCTCCATGGATGGCCCAGTGTCCTTCACTAATTGTTAGCTCTCCGATGGCTACGGTGGACTTGGAAAAAAATACCTTGTCTATCTTTATCTTCTCTGTTTCTTTTTTTCTTTTTTTGGTGGTTGCATGTTTATTGGGGGTTTTTAAATTAAAATTTATTGGGGCGACAGTAGTTAGTAAAATTACATAGGTTTCAAGTGTACAATTCTGTTATACATCATCTACATATCACATTGTGTGTTCACCACCCAGAGTCAGTTCTCCCATCACCGTATATTTGACCCTGTTTACCCTCATCTACCATCCCCCCACCCCCCTCTGGTAACCACTGTACTGTTGTCGATGAGTTTTTGTTTCTTTCTTTGTCTTGTTTCTTTGTTGCTTTCAGTTTTATATCCTACATATCAGTGAAATCATATGGTTCTGTCTAGTGTTTCTTAGGAGGAAGACTGCTCTGATCTGTTATGTAGCCTGCTGTTAGGAGAAGAAAAAGTCCGTGCCATTTCCCCCATGTGTGTTTTAGAGTTGACTCATTGAGATTAGAAAATGCCCTACGTACATCCTAAAACCCCATTTTCTTAGATAACAGGGATCTGCTATATAACTTCTACAAAATCACAGTTCCAAAATTGAATGTAGTGGTAACATCCAACTATTAAATTAGAGGACCTGGTATATCTTCCCGTTCGGCCTGCTTGTCCCTCCTAGTCCCGAGTGTCACGTTTGCAGAGATTGTTTGTGGCCAGCAGTGGATGTGGCCTAATAACCAGTCAGCACGATGGTTGGAGGAGTCAGTCTTTTATCTCCTTCTCGGGGCTTAGGTAACACTTGCCCAACCCTGCTGGTGCATGGTTTTGTTCCTTCAGAGTGAGGAGCATGCGCGGTCGAGGGAAACAGATCAGCGCCAACCGGCCACTCTGTGTATGACCTGTTCAATTCAGGGCTTCCTGAGGCTCGCTCCATGGTGGGGGCTCTGGGCCAGACCAGCCCTCAGCAAGAGATGCAAGCCTTCCGCTGCCCAAGGGGCCCTGGCCAGTGTCTGCCTCATTCGAGGACTTTTAGGAATATTTCAGTTGGGAAAACTAGGGAGGAGATGAATTGAAAGGGATACATATATTTTAAAAAGAAGGAGTATGGAGATTATGTTTGTAAAGGCTGTGAAAAATCAGAGAATTGAATTAATATTAAGATTTTAAAACTTTCGATGAGTGTCTAATCTCTAGAGAAAAATTCCTAACCATTAATAGAGTAATCTTTAGGTATAAAGCATTGAAATATATCATTTGAAGTATTCATGCCGTCACATTTTTTATAAAAGGAAAAGTAAGACCATTCAATTAATTAATGTTCAACTTAATCTAAGCAATTACTTTTAGTTTTATTTTCATAGTGGCTTTTTTAAAACTGTCAGAAACATTGCCTTTGGCTATAATTATAAATAAATCCCCATCTGCATTTCTGAAGTGCTTAACTGAGAACAGTTTATAAACTTTCAAAGTACTGCTTAAAACAAGTCACAGATCTAATAGTCTTCAGAATTTTAAATTGAAGAGTTAATTGATTTTCTTGATTCCTTTAGTTATATATTTTCTCTGTTTTATAATTACTGAAAAGAACTTAATATTTTGCTGCATTTTATTAAAAACACATAGTCTCATATTGTTATCCTTCCAGGGCAGTATTTTTATATGACATTTAAAATGTACTAAGCTGAAGATAAATCATGGTCTGGGTTTTTCTGGATCCTCAATTGTAATTATGTGCAATTCTTTTTCTTGCTTATAAGAAATTGACAGAAGATATGATAGAACTGATAAAAATATTTCAGGGAATAAAGATAGACTTGAATACTATGATTAAACTTCTAGGACTAAAGTGTGTTCTTTGTTTTTACATGTTTTAGTAAAGAAGCAATGAAATTAATAATATATAGTAATAAAGAGTTCCTAATGAGCAATTTATTTACTAGATATCTTTCATTTCTAGGGAAATCTCCATATTTTGTAGTAGACGTCAGATAAAAACATTTTTTCATAAGATTCTCCAAACATATAGTTTTTTTAAAATTAAATATATGCTTAAACATGTATGATGGGAATTTTTCAATGTTAGGAGAGTATATGTATTTTCTCCCCCTCCCCAAGCTATTTTACTACCTTTGCTTATTTTAAAAAAGACCTCTTTTGTTTTGGGAGAAGGAATTCACGTATAGGGTGTGGATTTTTAAGTGTCCTGTGTGTACCAATGTTGAGACATGGGACATGGAAAACAAAAAGTAAATAAAACATACTCACCAACAAGGATCAATGAACATTATGGGATTAGATAGTATCAGAGTAGCATTTAGTTTTAAATAGTGTCCTAGATAAGTACTGACCAAGAGTCAGAAGTAATAACTGTCTTTCCCCTTCTTTCTCCTGACTCTCTGGGGGAGGAGAGATGTCCTGCGTAACTGTCAATTCCTATATATAACTGAAAAGTCCTGGTAATGATTGTTCATTTTCACTTAGCGTGGACATATATCAGGAAGCTACCTGACATCAAGGAAGAGTCAACATAACAAACAGTATAAAAACAGAGAATATGGTGAGTACAGCACCTACAGTGATGACAACTTCGGTGCCTACAGTGATGACAACTTCAGTACCTACAGTCAGGGGACAGAGGGAGATTTTGCCAGTCAGCTGAAACAATACAGACAAGCTAAAGAAACCTCTAGTACTGCTTTAGGATCACCATTTTCTAAAGAACCAGGGAAGAGACCAAGAATGAAAGGAATTCAGCAAGGTAAGCTTGCAGCTTTCAATCTGTTTTTGAATATGAGAACCTTATTAAAACAGGTAGCTGTGGGGGTGAAAACTTGAGTTTCTTAGCCCTTTCTCAAGATCAGCTTATTCTTGTGGTTCCTGAATTTGTTTTTATTTATTTTGTAGACCTTGGAGACAAAAATCCACAAATATTTCAATCTCATGGTATCAATATTTGAATTAGAAAGATATCCTAATATTTAAGAAGTATAAAACAAGTTTCTTGCTATGTTTCCCCTCCCTTCAGTATGATAGCAGTCTACTGATAAAAAATAACCTACGTTTTTCATTGTCTCTGTTACTCTACGGATTATTTTATGTATTTTAGACTTGTGAGGACGGAATTCTGGGGGGCTATTCTATTTTTAGGCTTTAAAGTGTGACAGTCACCTCTGCTGTGCAAGTGTACTTAAGACTATGGACATCCTTCAAGGCTGGAAATAAGAACATATTCTAAAGAAATTTCTAGAATCATCACCTATTCATCTGCTATGTTGAGGCACATTGTCCCTGGAAAGACCAGAGCAAGTTGTCATTGAAACCATGAGTCACATAAGGGTCAAATCAATCTTGAGAGTTGGCCAGTCAGTGTGTCTGTTTCAAGAAAACTGGAGCAAGATGAGGCTAAGGTTATATAGTGAGCACCCAGCCCATCCTTCATTGTCATTGAGAAAAGGAATCAGTTATAAGTGAATTTGGTTATTTCCATGGGTTTATTTTTTTCTTGATTTCCTAGCAACATTCCTTGGAAAAATATGAATCTAGACTTTGCTGAACAAAAGAGAAAGGAATTTATACATCTGCTACTGTAATTATAAGCCTGTTCCTGGAGTCTAGACACAGTGGTGTCACGGTCATTCCACATGGAATATAGAGGCCTGGTCATAACCTGGGGTTTTTCCTTTCAGGCTTTCTCTCCCTATCCTGTTAAAGAACTGAGTACGGCATTTTATTTTTGACATTCATTTTCCCCTGGATTATGAAAGTAATATATAGTCAAATGCAGAAAACTTTTGCTATGTGTAGAAAAGATAACCCAGCAGAGATCAAAGATAGAACCAAATAATTTGAATTCCTACATCTAGGGATAATTACTGTTTACATTTTCAGTATATATTCTTTGAGAATTTTTCTGACAATTATTTTTTAACAAAATATACATACTGTTGTAATTTGTTTTTTTACCCTTAATTTTGAACTGTATCTCATTCTTATGTTAATGAGTAGCTTTTAATGCCTGCATTGTATTGAATGAAATAGGTAAACCATAATTTGTCCAACAAATTGTTAGGTTAGTGTGATAGTAATTATTTGAGATTTAAGTTGAACCAGTTTTTTAAAATTCTGTGATTAACCCTGCATATTTATGCATATCTCTGAAAACATCTCAGCAAACTTTTTTTTTTTTTTAAGATTGTATTGGGGAATTGGGGGAGGGGAACAGCATTGGGGAATCGGGGAAGGGAAACAGACAAGTTGCTGTCCTTTTGTTCTTCAGTCTAGTTGTGGAGGACGCTGCTTCACTGGCCCATGTTGGTATTATCATTGCGCTCTTCCCGGGTGAGGCAGATCGGTTGTTGGCCTCTGGATGGCTGCTCACGGCGGCTCTTGGCAGCTCACGCCAGCTGCCAGCCGCTCACGCTGGCTGCCAGCCACTCACCGTAGCTTATGGCAGCCCACTGCAACTTCACTGCAGTCTATACTGTTGCCGGCAACTCACGGCAGCCCAGCTCCAGGTCGAGCTGTTGTTCACCATCTTAGCTGTAGAGGGCAGTGTCACTGGCCCTCAAGTGGGATCTGAACCCAGGCCCTGCTGCTCAGAGCTGGCGTCCCAAGCCCTCTCTTAACCAACGCGCCACTCGGCCAGCCCAGCAAACATTTTTTTTAAGAATAAATTCTGAAATGTAGAATTGAGTCAAAAGACCTAGGCACACATTTGAAGATATTTGATTCATACACCAACTTGATACCAAAAAAACGATGTACCAGTTTATAACACCCCAGCCAGTATGTGAAAATGCCAAACTCTAAATCCCTACCATGCTTTTCTTCAAAGTAAAGATTGCTATGTCAATTTTAAATTTTAATTTCTTTGATTTCTTTTAATGAGGCGAAACATTTTTTTTTATATATTTGTTGGCTGTTTTGTAGGTTTAAGATCATTAGAAAACTTACTAGTTCAATATGACTTTGGTAAACTGAGAGAATTCACTTTGTAACTTCCTACCCTAATATATAATTTTTGTAATTACAGTATCTTTTAAAATACTTTTGTGGTGGCCAGTTAGCTCAGTTGGTTAGAGCGTAGTGCTCATAACACCAAGGTTGCCAGTTCGATTCCCACATGGGCCAGTGAGCTGCACCCTCAACTAGATTGAAAACAACAACTTGACTTAGAGCTGATGGGTCCTGGGAAAACACACTATTCCCCAATAAAATATTTATTTATTTATTTATTTTATATTTAATATATATATTTAAAAAGTATTTTTAAATTCTAAGTTTTTCAAAAGTAAAATACAAGTATAAGTTTTATTTGGAGGTGTGTGTGTGTGTGTGTGTGTGTGTGTTAGTTACCTACTCAAAGTTATCAATAGAAACTCAATTTACTACAAATTAGCCACTAATACTTACAGTGTCTTCCTTAGAGATAAATATAATATTTAATTCTCTTAAAAACAAAAAGCCTTGTTAATTGCTTATTCTAAGGAAAATTGAAAAGAATCAAACTAGATTTGACTTCTCCAGCTATGTACATCCTTGTTCCTTGCCTTCCTTATGTTCTTAACATTCTTTAAGAAACAAAAGAATAAGAAGCAGTGCCTAGGAAGTAAAATGTAAGGATTGAATTAATTGTTTTCACTGAATTTGGAGGGGAAAAAAGGAATGTACTGTACATTATAGACTGTTTGAAATAAGCTGTCCCCTACAAACTAACATATTGACAGCTGTGCTATTTTTCTATAATATTTGAAGTATATTTTAACTTTTTTAGGTATTGAACAGAGGGTTAAAAGTTTTAACATTGGTCGTGGACGAGGTTTGCCGAAGAAAATCAAACGCAGAGACCGTGGGGGAAGAGCCAGTAAAGGGTCCAATGTGTTTTCAGGAACGGATGACTTTCAAGAGGTACTGAGAGTTTACACTCAGTGAGGAGAGGGCCTTCTCCATCGTTTGACTGATTTGGCTACAAAGGAAGCACTGTGATTTAAATGCTACTTTCCTAATAAATGAAAAACTTCCAGTTCAGATCTGATGAGTATATATGAGTTCCAAAAAAAGAATTGTTGTTTTAATTAGTTATGATACTAGTTAGATTTAGGTGACTTCAAAATAAAATTGGTATCTTTGAAAGCGCCTCAAAGCAAAAGTGATGTCTGAAAGCAGAAATGTGGGTTCCATTAGCCTTCTGTTGTGCTTCCTCCCTAAGAGTCACCTTCCACAGATGCAAATGGCAATAAAATGCTAATAGCCCAATATGTAGCAGGGCCAAGAAGGGAGGTGGTGCTAAATGAACTACTTATTAGAGTTGAAAGCACTGAAAGAGAAGAAAAGGAAATATAAATGGTTGGGAAGATGAATTGATGAACTGTGCATATGGTAGACATTGAGTAAATACATGTTGACTTGAACGTGTACATTTCAACCTTGTAGCGACTTTCAGGATTACAGCGTCCAGTTCCTGTATTCTGCAACATTTCCAGTGAGGTTTGATCGAATTTACAGAGCAAGGCTGGGATATAAAGCTACAATTTTGAGACCAAGGAGATAGCAATATATTGTAACTGGAAAATGCTTGGTTTTCCAATCTCTAGGCTTAAAGATAATGGGCATAGATGCCTTTATATGTACTCCTTAGAACAGCGGTTCTCAACCTTCCTAATGCCGCGACCCCTTAATACAGTTCCTCATGTTGTGGTGACCCCCAACCATAAAATTATTTTTGTTGCTACTCTATAACTGTAATTTTGCTACTGTTATGAATCGTAATGTAAGTATCTTTTTGTTTTCCGATGGTCTTAGGCGACCCCTGTGAAAGGGTCATTTGACCCCCAAAGGGGTTGCGACCCACAGGTTGAGAACCGCTGCCTTAGAATATTACTTAGGGAGATGTAAACAGGTATGATGTAAAAAAGCTCAGATAAGCTTGTGAAACCCTGCACATGCCACTCTACCCTCAGGTCTCTGAGTCGGCATTAATGTATAAAGGCTCTGAGTAGCTTGGGCACAAAGAAGCCTGCTTTATATTCTATGGGATAGCAGCTTCGGAAACAAGCTGAGGATTTCCGGGTGGTTGTACGCTGCCTGTCCATCTTCCTACACCAGCAGACCTCTGGAATGTGCTGCTCTCCGTAGATTAAATTAGTGTAATGCTTTGTTTTCCAAGAAAGCATTCTCCTACATCCATCGCTCACACTCTGTACCTGGAAAACTCAGCATTCGAAAAGCATGGCGTCAAATAAGTGACCGCCTGCCTCTGAGCATCGGTTTGCTAATCAGTAAAAGGAGAGGACACATGGTATTAAATTAGCTCTAAGGACCCCTTCAAGCACTAACATTTTAAATGTTTATAGATCTGGGCTGCAACTAAAAGATTCTTTGTTGTGTAATAGAAAATCAGTAAGTTCTTTCTTTTGCATTCATCAGATTTGGACTATTTTAAAACATGTTATCAAGATTAAAATATGTTACTGACTGCCTCAGTTTATTGGCTATCATGAGAGATTTCTTCTTGTGATTCCGGAAACAAGCAGAAGAGTGCCAGAGCCCAAGACAGCAGCCATGTTCAGGAGGGGCTGGGGAAGACCCCTCTAGGGCGAGTGGGCATGCTCAGTGGTCAGCATGTCCACCGCTAGTACTAGCCTTTTCAGGGATCCCTGCACATCCACACTCACTTTCTTGAAAGCTCAAGGGTGGTCACAGAGCAATCAATCTTTTGATGGATTTTAAAGACTTACTAATTCTGTTGGCCATAAAACTTTTTTTTAGTCTTTATAGTAACTAAACATTTTTTAGTCTTTATAGTAACTATTACATTTTCTGTAAATATATATTCTTTTCATGGTATGTATGGCTATACATTTTAATACCTATTTAATATTTCATGTTAAATTTAAATGAAATTTTTTTTTGCAGTATAATAAACCAGGGAAAAAATGGAAGGTTATGACTCAGGAATTTATCAATCAGCACACAGTGGAACACAAAGGAAAACAAATCTGTAAATACTTTCTGGAAGGGAGATGTATTAAGGTAAATTCATAGGAATATCATAAACCCTTTTACTTCCAAAGTACTCTTTAAAACTTAAGTCTTTTGGGGGTGGCTGTTTCTTTCATTTCTCATATAGTTGTAATAAATCTGGTTCTTCAAAATGTATCTTGCATGGAAATACTGTACACCAGAACTCATTTAATTATATCCTGGGACAACATTATAATTTGTTGAAACCAGATTTTTTTTTTATGATTTTTTTTTTAATTGGGATATTGGGGGAAGGGAACAGCGCTGGGGAATCGGGGGAAGGGGAACAGACAAGTTGCTGTTGTTTTGTTCAGTCTAGTTGTGGAGGATGTTGCTTCACTGGCCCAATTTGGCACCATCATTGCGCTCTTCCTGGGCAAGGCAGATCAGTCGCCGGCTTCTGGACGGCCGCTCACTCCAGCTGCTGGCCGCTCACGCTGGCTGCTGGCTACATACGGTAGCCCATGGCAACCCACTGCAGCAGGGGCTGCAGCCTACACCGTCGCCAGCGACTCACGGCAGCCCAGCTCCAGGTTGAGCTGTTGTTCAGCATCTTAGCTGTGGAGGGCAGTGTCACTGGCCCTCATATGTGGGATCCGAACCAGGGCCCTCTGGCATCCCAAGCCAGTTCTTAACCATCGCGCCACTCAGCCGGCCCCAGATTTTTTTTTTAACAAACACAATGCTGACTGTGTGGCAAGTGGTTACTAATATTAGATGTTTCAGTCTTTACAGTGACCCTAAGAAGTAGTTACTGTTATTGTCCCCACTGTAAATGTGGCCACACCAAAGGGTTAAATGAGTCCCCACAGTAGCTCATCTGGACATGGTGAGTGCAGATGGGACCCAGGCAGGGTCCCCTGAGGCCACCTCACTGTGCTGCCTCTGCATGGTGCTACGCCCACCATCTTGGGCAGGAACTCCAGGGATTGTTTATTATTAGCTCATCATTTAAAAACTGAAGATAGAACCATAGTTACGAGTACACTGTGAAATGCCATGGAGAAAACTCAGTCCAGTGATTTCTTTTTTTCCCTTCTCTCTTCCTTTTTTCCTTCCTTCCTTTCTTCCTTTTCTTTTTGTGAACAGGGGGATCAGTGTAAATTTGACCACGATGCAGAGTTGGAGAAGAGAAAAGAGATCTGCAAATTTTATTTACAAGGATACTGTACCAAAGGAGAGAACTGTATTTACATGCATAATATCCTTTACTGAAAATACTTAACCAGCATACTGAGGTGTAAAAGCATCATTGAGGGTTTTAAAAATCGTAAGTACAGCCTAGAAATCCTCATTTGGCTTTAAATTTAAAATAGCACATTACATAAATCAAGTCAAGTCAGCCCTTGTACTTTAAAAGGGCAAACTGAGTTTATTCTTTAGGGAAATGGAATAACTTCCCTTGGGAAAAAAAAATCTATGCAATAAAGGTACTTTATATTTAATATACTCAGCTTGTAAGTATTTTAAGAGCCTGTGCTTCCTGAAGGAGTTGTTAGCAAAATATTTATTCTATGGCTTAATTATTTTACTTAATAAAGTATCATTGTGGAATATTATAAAATCAAAGTCTCATCAAATCTTACCCTCCAGTGATAAACACTGTTTATTCTTCCCTACTTATTCCTTAGGAAGTCTATACATCTAAATTGTACTCCTGCCCCCATCCAAATTGGTTTTCACTATACGAGGTCTGAAAACTAAATATGCGAACTCATCCTAGAAAAAGGGCTACACACCTCATTGCTGAATAGCACTACAGTTACCTTCGAAGTACCTCCCTTGGGAAGCTATGCACTGATGCCAGCACCTAGTCCACCCTTTAAAGCAATTTTGGAGCTCTTTTTCTAGAACGGCCATCAGAGCTCTCATTGTATTACCCTTGCTGCCCTGAGTGACATCAAAATGTCTTCCTTTCAATATTTCCTTTATCTTCGGGTAAAGAATGAAGTCATTGGGGGCCAGATCAGGTGAGTAGGGAGGGTGTTCCAATACAGTTATTTGTTTACTGGCTAAAAACCCCCTCACAGACAGTGCCTTGTGAGCTGGTGCATTATTGTGATGCAAGAGCCATGAATTGTTGGTGAAAAGATCAGGTCATTTTTGTCTTTTTCAAGCAGACTTTTCAGCACTTCCAAGTAGTAACCTTGGTTAACTGTTTGTCCAGTTGGTACAAATTCATAATGAATAATCATTGATACCAAAAAAGTTAGCAACATTGTTTTGACTCTTGATTTGGACTGACGGAACTTTTTTGGTCATGGAGAATTGACTGACTTCCATTGTGCACTTTGACGCTTTGTTTTAGGGTTGTATTGGTACACCCATTTCATCACCAGTGATAGCATGACCAAAACATCATCTTCCCTCTCCAAAAGGTCTTGGCAAACTTCGACTCTCCTTTGCTTTTGTTCATTGGTGAGCTCCTTCGGGACCATTTTTGCACACACCTTTCTCATGCCAAGATTTTCAGTTAAGATTTTCCTTACTGTTTCTCTATTGATATTTACTTGGTCTGCAATGCTTCTCATAGTCAGCTGATGATTTGGATGCACAATTCGACAAATTTTTGCAATGTTTTCGTCAGTTCTGCTCGTTACTGGCCGCCCTGACCTCTCTTCATTGGTGACACCTCTTCCCTCAGAAAAACATTTAAGGGGCGGCCAGTTAGCTCAGTTGATTAGAGCTCAGTGCTCATAACACCAAGGTTGCCGGTTCGATTTCTGCATGTGCCACTAAGCTGCGCCCTCCACTACTAGATTGGAACAACTGCTTGACTTGGAGCTGGTGGGTCCTGGAAAAACACACTGTTCCCAAATTTTAAAAAAAAGAAAGAAAAGAAAAACGTTTAATTCATTTGTACATTGCCATTTTCTTCATGGCATTACCCTGACATAAACTTGGACTAACATGTCCCTGATTTCATTTCCACTCTTGCCAAGTTTAATAAGAAATTTAATGTTTGTTCATTGCTCTAATTCAAGCTCAGACATTCTCGCGACAGCACACAGGAACACACAACAATAATAATGAATGCCACTCAGCAAGACACCACCACACATCCACATGAACACAGCTGTGAGACTGATACACCAAGGTTATGAAACCTTACCAAGCTATTTGTACAGTGTTGCCGATGTAAGCACACAGTGGCAAGTTCGCGAACTTAATTGTCAGGCCTCATATGTATATAGTTCTTTTAAAAACATATATGTATAATGTATCTTTCCTTGTTAACCCCCTCATCCCCAAATATCTAGCTGGTTACTCATACGTTTTAGGAGTCGTGGAGACCGCTCCCTCCCTCCCCATCTGAAACTCCATCTTTATCATGATGAAATGTTATACGTTCGATTTTGCTCTAGACCAGGGGTCAGCAAACTGTGGCTCACAAGCCACATGCGGCTCTTTGGGTACGTTCCATCCCAAAAGTTTGCCGACCCCTGGAAGAGCCAATCCTATCCCTCACAACAATTTAAAAATTATTCAAGAGCCATAAATATATTTTTATAAATAAGGAAAATTTAAAGTAATATTATAAATGAAACTATGATAGTTTTATTTTCATTTGCAATTTTACTTCAGAGCCACATGTTTGTACCCAAAGAGGCGCATGTGGCTCGCGAGCCTCAGTTTGCTGACCTGTGGCAGCTCTTCCATCTCAGAAGTTTGCCGAACCCTGCTCTAGAGCTTGCATTTGGTTCCTTGGGTCTGTTTGCCCTCATGCCTGTGTTGCTTTACTGTGATTGTTTCTGACTCACCAGCACACTGTGATATTTGGTAGATTCTCACATTTACTTTTCCAGATAAATTTTAAAATAGTCTTGTCTAGTTGAAGAAAAAAATAACCTAAAAGAGAAAAGGAAGTAAACAACCTCTGTTATCATTGATCTAAATGTAAACAGTAAAACCATACAAATACTGTATGGGTGAATTCCTTTATAACTTTAAAATGTGACTTAAAATCCAGAAGCAGTAAGGGAAAAGATTGAAAATTTGACTACATAAAAATTTTTAAATTTGCATAATGACAAAATATGTCCTAGGCAAGGTAAAAAGTAAATAATAAAATGGGAAAAGTTGTTTGCAACTTATATCATTTACAAGAAGTAACAGCTTAATATATGAGTTTCTAAACATTGAGAAGAAAAATAGTGCAAGAGACACAGATAATTCACAGAAAGAGAAATGCAAATGGCCCCAAAACATTTGAAAAGATGCTCAATCTTGTTCATAAGAGGAATGCAATTTAATCTGTGTCCCGAGATACCATTTGCAGCTATTCATTTGCAAAACTCCAAAAAAAATAAAAGTGTGATAGCAAAATTTGTTAGCAAGGCTTTGAAAAAGTAGATACACTCAAACCTTGTTGGTAGGAATGTAAAATGGTGCACCCTTGTGGAGGGGAGCTTGGCAGCATCTGGCAAAAATTACACAAGTTCACCCTCTGACGTAGCAATCCTACCATTTTGCAAATTCTGATGAATTAATGGATCTGGGCAGTGATTGCTGATGGCTGCTAAAATCAGGGGGAAAGTTGATGAGAAACTTTGTAATGGATTAATTGGGCTGACAACACCTGCACCAACTGATCAGTCTTAGCACTAAAAAGAAACAACCGGACATTAAATGCCTCTCGATATGATGCAGTTGGGAGTATTTTAACACCGGTGAAAATAGGAAAATTAACAAATAAATGATATGAGAGTGAAAGGGGAGGAGAACTCATAGAGATCAATGAAGGAATTTGAGAGGTGTATTAATGAGATGCCATTTGTGGATCATGTTTGGATCCTAATATGAACAAAGCAATTATAAAAAGACATTTTGGAAACAGTCTGAAAATTTCATATATTGACAGAGTAGTAGATAAAATTAATGTGTGAATTTTTCAGATTGATGATAAGGTTGTGACTTAAGAAAAATATTCCTTATCTGTTTGGCATAAATATGGAGATATTTACAGATTAAATGTATTTGGATTATGTTTTCAACACTCCAGTGTTTTTTAGGGAGAATTGTGATGAGAGTATGAGGGTGGCATAGACCTCACCAAATTGCCAGATGATGGAAATTGAACTTACGTGGCCAGCATGAGGAAGCTCATTGTATTATTCTCTCTACTTTGGTATGTTTGATAATTTTCAAACTAACTTTTTAAAAAGCCTAAGTAATCTCAACTCTTCAGAGATAACCATGCTAACAATATGGCAAAAAGTCACTTTTTTTTAATGCTAAGGTATGTATGTGTGAATGAATGTATACATGTGTATATCTTTTTGCATATAATTTTTTATAAAAATTTTTATTAAAATGTGATCCAGCCATGATTGTAAAGTTATATTTTTTATTTAACATTTACACCTTTAATTTATATAGATTCTATTTTAATATATGAGGTGCAGTAAGGAGCTTACTTTTTTCCAAATGGCTAACTCGGTGTCTCATCTTCACCAATTTAAAATGGCAGCATTAATCCCAGATCCTAAATATCTCTGTATGCACAGCTCTGCTTCTCTATATGACTATCATACATAGTGCTGTTTGACCTCTTTCCTCTATAAGAGTATGTTTGATATTTAGTAGGGCAAATAATCCTTTTTTTATCAAAATGTTATGATGTTTGTCTTATTCAAGAAACAGAAATAACTTTTCAGATTTCACATATTTCTTTAGAAACCAGATACCTTATTGAAATGTTTCTGAAAGCTTTCAGTCTATTCTTATGGTTTTTTCCCCAGAGTCATGCCATTTGTAAGTAATAATCATTTCTACCTCCTATTTAATTTTAACTGTATTGGCTACATGTTCAGAATAATGTTAAATAATAGTGATTGTGGCAGACATAATACATGCTTTTGCTTTGACTTGTGGCTATAGTTTTTTTAGATTAAGTTATGTATATTCTTATTTTACTAAGAGTTTTTTAAACTAAAAGAGGATTTTGAATTTTGTCAGTTGTCTCTTACAATTGCTAAGGTGATTGTATGATTTTTCTCTTTTGACCCTATCAGTATGATGATTGCAGTAATAAATTTCCTAAAACCACCCTGGAATTCCCTGAACATATACCACCTGAAAATGGTGTATTTTTCACTGTACTTATAGGTTTAATATTTTCTTTAGTAGAAGTTTGTCCCCAAAATCATAAGTAAGATGAGCCTATAGCTCTCACTGTTGGGATGTTTGACTTTAACCTGGCATATTAAACCCCTTATTTTCTTCATAGATATAAGCACTTGCTACAAAATTTATTTGTTTTGTGTAATATTTTATTTCATTGTAGACAGTAACAAGACTTACATAGTTAAAATACTATATATAGTATTTGCTATAACCATTATAAGTACTTTTTCTTTAAGAAATGTTTTCTGGTTTTAATAAAGTAAGAGAGATTTAAGATTTTTTAATGTTTTGCTGCAAAACTAAAATATTTAATCTTAAAATGAAACAAATTATCTGATGTGATTATAGAAAATTCAGTACAGTATGTATGTAGTAATATAGTCTTATTGATCCAGCAGTTACTTTTTTTTGTTTAAAAATACTAGAGTTTGATTTTGTTTGGTCTATTCCTTAATATTTTTATTTACATGAATTTCCATGCAAGTTCTATCATAGTGGGGCAAAATGTTACCAAGGAGACAACTGTAAATTTTCACATGATGATCTGACTAAAGAAACGAAGAAACTTTTGGACAAAGTGAGTAATAATTTTGCACCTTGATGATTTGTTAGTTCTCTCTACAGATTCATTTAACTTGAATCTTGTTTTCTAAATGATATTTTATAAAACTGCTGAGAACCCAAGGAATTGTTATTTATGTTTCATTAACACAGTGTGTTAGAAAAGCTGAAATAATGGGCTAGGAATTAAGAATCTTTCATTCTCATTCTGTTGTGCCATTAAAAAGCTAATTTACTTTGAGAAATATCCTTTTTTTGAAACTCATTCTCTTTATCAAAACTGAGTTAGCTGTCTATGACCCATTTCAACTTAATATTTTTCTGTTAACAAAATTAGTTTACTGAAGTCTTCACAATTTTAAATATGGGGAAGGAAGCTTGTTTTAAAATGGTCCTCTGCCAATTATTTTTAGGTGTTGAACACTGAAGAGGGACCCACAAATGAGGATGAAAGAGAGTTAGAAGAGCTTAGGAAACGCGGCATAACTCCCCTTCCCAAACCACCTCCAGGAGTGGGGCTCCTGCCAACCCCACCAGAACACACCCCCTTCTCCGATCCTGAAGATGATTTTCAGACAGAACTCTCAGATGATTTCAAGAAAATTCCATCTCTTTTTGAAATAGTTGTAAAACCTACTGTGGATTTAGCACATAAGATTGGGAAGAAGTAAGTTAAAATTTTCAAAAATGGTGGCATTTTGTCCTTTAGAAATTCTTATTAAGACACTCTGTTGTATCCATGTTAATCATGTAATTAAGCTTAGGAAGAGATAGCAGCTGTCTGGCATGCACCTCCATGTCCAACTACCTCTGTGGCCCCCTCACCTTCTGCTTCCTGCCATGGCACTTTCCCTATGGGGTCCTTAACACAGCTCAGAAATTCCACACAGCAGTCAGGACTAGAACAAGACCAATCAAAGCATTTACCTTTGGGCGGTAGGATTAGAGGTGATTGTCTTTGTACTTTGCATATTTTTCAAAATATCAACAATGAGTAAGTTCTAGAACAGCTGATAGTAGCAGCAATTAAGAAAACTATGGGCTAAAATGAAGGTACGATGTACATGTTGGTGTTTCCAGTTATAGATAATACAGAATAAATTGCTTAGTATCCAATTCTGATATAGAAAAACACACATAAACAATATCTATTCAAAAATGTGGCATGCTTTTTTGCTGCTTTCCTTTGAATCAGGAAATACTATTCTTTCTGTGTGCAGGCCACCAGCATTTTACAGCAGTGCCTCGCCACCAGGTCCACAATTTCAGGAAAGCAGCCCGCATCCTCAGCACATCTATAGTTCTGGGTCAAGTCCAGGTGCTGGAGCTAATAATATGTCTCAGGGGCACAGCAGTCCTGTGACGCACCCAGGCTCCCCTGGACATCACCCATGTGCAGGATCCATGCCACAGAGCCCACCTGCTCCATCTGCTCCACCTGGGGCTGTGGGTCCTCACAGTCACGCTGCGGTACTTGTTCCACTGGAAGCACCTTTGACAGCACCAAGTATGAGTGGTGCCTACCACTGCCCGGGCTTTGCAGAGCATGTGATGAACATGCCCAGAGAGAATCACTGTTCTCCAGGCTCATCACACCCACAGGGTCCTGGCGAAATGCAGCTCAGCGCCAGTTATGAGTCCCTACAGAACCCCGCCGAGTTTTATGATGATTACTACTCACAACATGCTGTACACAGTTTTCAGCTGCCCAGTAACTCTAGTGGTAAGTTTACCTTTTGAAATAACTCATTTCTAATATTAAATTTGGAGCCCCGTTTTCCATTTAAAGCGTGATAAGAATGTATGTTTTAAATCTAAGTAAAATTGGTGAAATTGAGACCTTAAAATACGTTTTAAATTTAACCAAACATTTGTAACAGATGACTTTTAAAAATATGTACAATCACAGTAATTTGACCATCAAATGTCATTATTTGAGCTTCAATTTCTTATACTCGCTGTGGTATTCTCTAGTGGAGTTTTTTGCTAACTCACTGCCTGTCTCTTTCCGTGTTTCATGTGTAGATGGGATGTGGCATGGTGAGTTTGCCCAGCATCAGCCTCCCATTGGTCAAGACTCACCTAACCATGGGTGTGGGTATGATGACAGCAGCAACATGACAGGCCCCGGCCCCCTGCCTGCACCAGGGCTCCTCCCCGCAGTGCAGAGAGCTCTTTTTGTCCGACTTGCTCAGAAGTACCAAGAAGATGAAGAACCAAGCAGCACCCAGTCTCAGAGGGCAACAAGCAAGGAAGAAGGTGTGTCAGGTGTTATGCTTCTCTGTTTGGGTCATTCAGCCCTTGACTAGGTTAAAGTCTGAGAACTGAGTTCCTCTGAACAGTCTACTCTAATTACTAGTTCACCTTGTAGCTCCTATCTTGTTGGGATGGTCTGTGGCACCATCAGTGCCTTAGCAAGTCACTGCCAAGGCCTTGACTGGAAGCAGTGAGGAGATCTGAAGCTAGAGTATGAGGCCCGGTGAGCAGACTCACTACTAGGCCTTTTTGGGGTTCTTTTTTTTTTGGAAGAAAAGGAACAGGCCACCTTCCAGTTAAGGAATTTTGACTTCTAGAACAAGTTCAGTCATTAGAGAAATTTTGATGGGCATAGTCTGTATACATCAGGTTCTGCTGCTATATTATGAAGGAATATTATTTTTAATATAAAAGATTATATGGAGACACTAAGTTTACTTAGTTTTGATATTGATAAATGTACAGCAATTAGCTAATTCAGTTAAGGAGAGAAAAGTTTAAAGCATCCTGTTCTTATGAATTACAAAATTGATAAGTTTGGCCACTTTTAAACATAAAATTTATGAATAACTATGCGAAACTAGGTAACACTAGGTAGCTACAGGCTATTATATGAACATTATTTGTTATATTTTCAAAGAAGGTAATATTAACTTCATTTATTTACACCATAGGGAAATGAGGGATTCCTGTTAATTTCCTGTGTAGCTTATGTTTATTCCTTTAAGTACTAAAACTTAATTTTAAGAAACAGCCATTTAATGGTAATCTTTCTATAAGGTCTTACAGAGCTTGATGTGTTCATAAACAAGAAAACTAAGGGCTAGCCGAGTGGCATGTTGGTTAAGAGTTGGCTTGGGACGGCAGCTCTGAGCAGCAGGGCCACTGTTTCGGATCCCATATTAGGGCCAGTGACGCTGCGCCCTCTACAGCTAAGATGGTGAACAACAGCTCGACCTGGAGCTGGGCTGCCCTGAGTGGCCAGCGACGGCGTAGGCTGCAGTGAGGCTGCAGTGGGCTGCCGGAAGCTACCGTGAGTGGCTGGCAGCTGGCGTGAGTGGCCGGCAGCCAGCAAGAGCTGCCAAGAACCTCTGTGAGCAGCCATCCAGTGGCCCGCAAAAGATCTGCCTCAGCTGGGAAGAGCGCAATGATAATACCAACATGGGCCAGTGAAGTGACGTCCTCCACAACTAAACTGACGAAAAAAAGACAGCAATTTGTCTGTTCCCCTCCCCCGATTCCCCAATAAAATCTTAAAAAAAAAACAATTAAAACTTTTATAGATGATATAAAAATTTATAATATAATATACAATTGGTGATGTTTTATGAGGGCTGTTTTTTCTGTATACAGAAAAGGTCTTGACCTGCTAGGTTTTTTGTGTTTGTGTTTATTTTATAGTTTTTTTTTATCAGCAATTTCAAATTTATTAAGCCCAAAACATAGACAGTTTTGTGGGAAAAAAATTTTATATAATAAAACTATTAAAAAATGCATTCTACAAAAAACGAATAAAAGGAAAAAAGAAAAAAATTTTTTTAAAAATGCATTCTACAGAAAAATACCATGACAAGTAGTATGCTAAGAAACTGGAAAACTATAGAACGTTCCACAAATTTGCATGTCATCCTTGTGCAAGGCCATGCTAATTTTTCTGTATTGTTCCAATTTTAGTATATGTGCTGCTGAAGCAAGCACTATTTTTATAAAGTTTAATGCCTTTATAAATCTTACCTGCCCTTTGATAAAAAGCTGTTAACCATCATTTCCTATCCAATATCTGCTTTCTGTTGGCCTGTCTCTACTCTTGTGCTTTCCTTCTGTTCTATATCCATTCTCATTCCAAAAAAAGGATTTGACTGCTTATAAAATATATTGATATAAAAGAATAAAGTAGCTCCTTACATATTTGGGTCAGATAACAAATTCTATAAGGAGTGAAGTTACTCTACAGAAATACTCAAAGTGAATCGCAAGCCCAGCTCTGGGCTTCCTGGAGGTCAAGGAGGAGAAGTAAGGGGACCTGGCGTCCAGAAGCCATCTTCCCAGACACTGAGATACCAGTAAAACTTTTTGCCATAGCGATGTAGTATATGCCATTGTGAGCCACACCCCACCCTAAATGCCACCACTCGTCTTGTGAGCACTACTCTGTGCAAACTAAGTGTGTGACACAAGTTCCATGTAGTGGAAACATTAGTGAGCAAAGCAGTGCGAGGAGGTAAAATGAGGCAATGATAGTCTGTCGATCCGGGATATTCTAGGGTGAGCGGACAAGTCAGCCAACCCATGAGTGTCTAAATGGAGAGGATTCACCCTCTAATCCCTCCTGAGATTGTGCAGGCCTCAACATTGTGCCTAACATGCAAGGGAGGGTTAAATGGGCTTTGGGAGTAAGACCCAGAGTGTTCTCAGGAATGACAAGTATATAAACTTTAGGATGTTCCTCCTGTTTTTTATTTTTAATTTCATGTTTGGGTAGCTAATATATTCACATAGATCATCTAAAAATGTAGTAAAGTAAAAATGAAAAAGCCTCCGCCTTGCCCCTCATTTGCTCAGTTCCCATTGCTTCCTCAACTATATTATCAGTATTCTGGTTTTTTTTCCAGATACTTTTTATATCTCTCCCTCCTGCATTGATAAATCCAGAGCTTAAGGATTGCTTGGCTTAAAGAGATCCAAAGTATTAGTGTTCCTTCCACAGTTTCTGCCTCGCACCCCACTCCAGGTAAATTACACACACCCTGAGTTCCCTTGGGCCAGTTGGAATGAAAGGCCCTGCTTTGCTCTGGCTGTGTTCTAATGTCACAGCTCACTCTTTATGTAATATAAAGACAGAATGGATTGTTCCCATACCTCACATCTTACCTTGTTCTGGTGTTGAAACTGGTACTCCTGTGATACACTTTCTTGAAGTTAGACCTCACTTATTTCAGCCATAGTGTGTGCTTTTTATCTTAATTAAGACCAAATATGAATGCTTCATTCTTTATAATAAGTGTTTGTCTGCATTTAGATGATACTGTTAACTGGTATTCCAGTAGTGAAGAGGAAGAAGGAAGCAGTGTCAAGTCAATCCTGAAAACACTGCAGAAACAGACAGAAACTTTAAGGAATCAGCAGCCTTCCTTGGAACCCAGCACTCCTGCTGACCCGAGACTTGCTAAAGAGAAGAGTAAAGGGAGCCACGTCATTGACCCTCGGCTTAGGACTGTCCCAAGGCACGATAGTAGGAAGTCCGAGTCCACTGCCCAGGGTCTCAGACTTGCGTGGGACCCTAGGAGACTGAGAGGGGATGGGAGTGGGCGTGTCGGCCCCTCGGCTGGCTCAGCAAAGTGCGGTTTACGTCACGCAGATGCTGGCGCTGACGTCAAACACAGGAGAGGAGATGAGGAGGAGGAGGACATGGAAAGAGAGCTGAGAGAAAAGGCTTCCTTGATACCTCTGGACTCTTCCCCGAATGTCGTGCTCCAGGATCCAAGGTCACAGCTGAGACAGTTCAGTCACATTAAAATGGACATTATCCTTACCAAGCCCAACTTCGCAAAACACATCGTGTGGGCTCCAGAAGACTTGCTCCCAGTCCCCTTGCCTAAGCCTGACCCCGTGTCTTCGATCAGTTTACCTCTGCCCCCCCTTATAGCTGACCAGAGGCTCAGTAGGTTGTGGGATGCGAAACGCGATCTTCACCCAAGCGCAGTGCTCGTCGATTCAAAATTAGCAGCCAAAGCCAAAATTAATACAGCCAACAGAGAAAGCCACCCGGAACAGTTTGGGGACTCGCACAGTTCAAGTAAATTAGGAGACCCTCGGCTGCAAAGAAAATGTGATCCCAGACTTCACAGGCTGCACAGCATGGCAGGTCAGCAGGCAGTCATGAAGCAGTCACACACATCGCAGAGTGGCCCTCACTCAGCCTCACAGCCCTCAGGGGCAGGGAGCAGCAGCTCTGGGCCCGGGGCTGGGCCTCCATGTGCCCCCAAACTGTCCTCTTCAGCTGGCCTTCCACTGGGGACTCCCTGTTCAGTTCTCAGTGGCACTGGTTTGTATGACCCTCAGGAGCAGGCTGCATCACCTACATCAGAGCCAGCAACGGGGACTGCGGAGAACCAGAAGATAGGAAGTAGTGACAGAAATGAGCCTTCTCCTGGGGAGGCAGTCCTGCCACAGAAAAGCACTCCGGACATGGAAATCACTGTCGAGGGGCCAGCTGACCCACAGGCAGATGCCCCCAGGAGCTCCTGTGCCAGTCAGGTCCCCGCAGTGCACAGTCTCCCCATTCAGGCATTAACAGGCTTAATTAGACCCCAGTACAGTGACCCAAGGCAGTCACAGCAGCCAGGACAGCTGAGCCCCACCCCTGATGATGGCCCCAGTAGCGAAACGGATGACAAGTCTCTGAGAGAGGTTTTTAAAACTTTTGATCCAACTGCTTCACCATTTTGCTAGCTATAGTGTAATTAGGCAGTTCTTTTTAGTCTTGTGACTATTGCAGTCCTCTGCTGTTTTGTAACTGGTTTACCTCTATAGTTTATTTATTTTTAAATTATAAACACTTTACAGCTGCTAGTATCAGAACCACATGAAGTTATATCCTCTAAAGCCTGTGGCATTTTATATAATATTTTTATAACTTTAAGAGACTGTAGTAATTGACATAGAAACTTATAGATCATGTTAGCTTCAGTAAAAGTACTTCTATTGTAAATAAACCATCATGAACTCAACTCTGCCTGAATATCTGCAGTTGTCTTTCATAATCGATGTTTGGATAACCAATTACCACTTTTATATGGTTGTTGTTTCGAGCAATATGTACCTTACTTTTGGGGAACAGTATTTTGACTGGGATCCTCTCTATTTGTCAACACATAATTGATTAATATGGAATGCTAACTGCTAGCTAAAATGTAAAATGAAGTAAAGAAAGCATTTTTTAATAACATTTAGCAGAGCAGTTCATGTTTAAGGCACCACTTTTATTAGTGTGGGCGATATTATTTGTGTAAATGAAGCATTTGAATGTCATATCTCTTAAAAGTATTTTACTGTATCATAGAAGTTGGAGATATATAGATTGTTCTGCTAAAGTGAAAAGTTCCCAAGTCCTCTGACATAACTTTTTAAATTTAATTTTTCATATTAAATAGTTGTGAATTACTGCTGTCACATTGTGATGTTTGTGTGTCGCGATGTTTTTTTTGTCTTTAGCACCATAATTTATATTACTTTTCAAATGATGTAGCTGCAATAATTGTGTTCATTATGACCTTAGCAATTTTTAACAAAATTTTAAAAGATCCGGTGAGAGTCTGTACCGATTATCGAATTGATAATGTTTTAAATGTCCAGGTTCCATATGTTTTCTTAAATAGGAAGAAAACACAGAGATGGAGTATTCAGCTGTGTGCCTACCAATAAAGAAACTCAGATCCCACATGACTGGCGTTCTATGACAGGAAGGATTTTGTGTCCTCATAGTTTGGAAATCTCCAAAATTGGTTAGAAATTGTATTTTTATGAAAAATAATGTATATTCATTCTTTGTGTATTTATTGCAGTATAAAATAATAGCAGCCCTGTTTGTTTTATACATTTATTATTTATAACAGAAACTAAGTATTACAGTGATATTCATGTCTTGAACTGGAGCTTACGACACTGTTTTTGGTAACAATCCCAGTTAACTGGAAAAGGAGCATTTCATCATAAAAGATAATGAAAATGCGGGTAAAAAGTTTTTGGATGAAAACAGCTACCCTTGAGAAGTGATGTTAGAAATACAGAGCAAAGTGTTTCTGTGGGAACCCGACACTCAGATGGCGTGTGGTTTAAGGTCAGTGCCACCCTTTCTGCTCACTTCTTTTACCGTCTTGCGCTGTGTTCGCAGGTCTATGGGGCTGCAGTTAGGGGAATGCCTCTGCCTACCGAAGTGTGCAGTGCTGGAGGGACCGTAAATGCCTGTTATTTCTACTTTGGTTATATTGTTACCTAAAATGGCTCTGGATATCATTTTGAGGTTACAAATGCAGTATAAAACCATCATAGAAAGTATTTTCTGACTTGCTGTCCAAACAAACTTTATTGTTCATTGAAAAGTCAATAAAATGGATAAAACTGACAGAAGAAAAGATTATCTTTCTATCTTTGTCAGAGATCAAAATAGAATCCAAATTCTTAACAGACTTTTTTACTACTAAGAGAGATGTTAAAAGATTAACTAAAAAGAAAGGTTTAAGGGCCGGCCAAGTGGTTCAGTTGGTTAAAAGCTCGAGCTCTGAGCAACAGGGTCGCTGGTTTGATTCCCACATGGGCCAGTGAGCTGTGCCCGAGCTGAGCTGCCAACAGGTGGCAGGATGGCTCAGCTGGTGAGAGCATGTGCTCCTAACAACAAGGTTGCCGGTTCGACTCCCACATGGGATGGTGGGTTACGCTCACCCGAAACTAAGATTGAGCACAGCATCTTGAGCTGAGCGGCTGTGAGTTGTCGACGGGCAGCCGGATGGCGACTGGACTTGGAGCTGAGCTAGCTGTGCCCTCCACAACTAAGATTGAAGGACAACAACTTGGCTGTTCCCCTTCCCNCTGTTCCCCTTCCCCAATTCCCCAATAAAATCTTTAAAAAAAGTAAGATTTAAAAACTATGAATGCAAATTATGTTCATTTACTCTGTATTCTTGAGTCCCTATTACATCAACTGGTGTCCTAGAGGCTATTTCACAAGACAGTTTGGACTTAGCTTTCAAATTTAATAATATATTTTATATAAAAATGTTTTATGTATAAAGTAATGATTTCTATTTGTGATGCTTTCTTAATTGAGATAACTTTAGCTTAGGGGATATTCTGTTATAGCCAGTACCTGGATTATTTTAATATTTTCCCCTATTTTCTCACCATAATTTAATAAGCAGCTATTTTCCCCAATGAATAAGCTCCTCTTCGTGGTGAGTGGTGTTTTTTAGAATCCATAGAATTTGATTTACACTAGTACACTGAAAAGTATGTGTGTCCCTGTTCTTAGAAGCCAAACATTTACAGGTAACAAGAGTCGGGAAGATGTGACAGCTGTCCACACCCGCTCACATGGGTGCTGAACATGGTTAGAGCAGGGTGTTGATGGGACTCCCGGATGATCACAATTTGGATTAAGCGATGACTTACCATGTCTTGTTTTGTTTGCTCCACACTCTTGTCTCCGTAGCTTTCCCAGTTAACCTCACTCTGAACCTTGAAAATGAACCAAACATTGGAGTGATTCAAACTTCCCCTCAGCAGCTAGGTCTGCTTCTGCAGGGACCCCATGTGACCCAGCCACGTGCTCCAGGCCCTCAAGTCAGGCTGCAGCCAAAGCAGGCTGATTAGGAAATGGTCTTTGCTCAGGTTTATCTGTCTTTTCATGCGCATAGGGCTTGCAGTGGGCATTTTCCTTGCTAGTCCTTTGTAAGAAGGGAAGAATGGTTGATTACTAAAGGAGCCCTGTATGCACATTCACAGAAGCCACTTTGCTGAATAATTAGGACAGGCAGCAGAGGTGAACTTGTGAGGGTGGGAGGTTTGAAGGCCATGAATTCCTACTCTTGTTCTGAATGGATTTATAGGCATTTTATCTCAGTGTCTAGTTCCTTCCCTGAAAAGTGGTATAATTGTGACTGCCCGCAGATTTGATGTAAGGAGTGAGTAAGTTATTAAAGTTTTTGTAAAGATTAAATTGCTTTGTAACTTTCACAAACATAATCATTAAACTCCCATTAGGGTACATGAAGTTGTACAAATTCCCAAAGAACATGATATGGTTTGTGTGTTTCACCAAATTTATGGAGTTTTGGATGATACACTTTGAAAACAGAAGAGAATTGCCTGAGAAGTTGCTCCAGAGAATGTTAACCATCATGTTAGCAGTTTTCTTTCACACTGTGTGTGTCAGCAAGACACAGGACTTCCTGCTTGAGAGCTGTGTAGGTTGGACATTGGTGGTGGCCCACAGTGCTGTGACCGTGCGTGCTGCGTGGTGTGTTTGCTCAGCCGAGTGTGTGTGTAGGCAGTGGCCAGCTCGTTCAGTATGAGCCCTGGGCTCTCAGAAACAATGGCTCCTCACGCCCGTCTCTTTGTATATGTTTCTGCAAGCATGTGACACTGAGGTCTTTGTGAGTGACTTGCTTGATAAAGATATCATTTTCCTTTGGTTAATGGCAACTTGACATTTGGAAGTTCCAAGGACTTAGGTGTCAGGGTTTGTCAAAATCTTTCCTTTTGCATGACACTTCTGGTGGAGATCCTCCCCAAGTTCCCACTTCTGGGCTGGAGGCTACACCTCCGAGGGGGGTCTGCAGTCAAGCGGTCCATAGGGCCCATGCAATATTCAGTAAGTGGGCTTTCTGTCAGTTTCTAAAATGAAGACTTGTAATGATTTTTCAAAAATGGGTTGGTGACAGTTCGTAATTAATATGTTCAAAACTAAGTCTAGTAGGACATAAAGTCATTAGCAAAATTAATTGAAATAACTCTGGGTTTAGGAAATCTTAAGCTTTGACAAAATGTGGCCAAACAGGGCCTGAGTGTTTAAGGCTCTTTTCCTCCCTGATGTGCCATGATTTAGCGTTTACGCAATGCCTTTTTGTTAAGTAACTTAATGTGATTTGCAGAACCAGTGTCAGCAGCAGCCAGTTGCTGTATCACTGGGGTTTTGTTTTGAGTATATTACGAATCAGCAGTATCCACCAGTTGTAACAAAGCCCAGATTAGCCTGCCTTTCTTCAGAAGGGTACAGACCTAAGAAAGAAGGGTACGGACCTAAGAAAACTGGATACAGACCTAAGAAAGGAGGATACAGACCCAAGAAAGGAGGATACAGACCCGAGAAAGGAGGATACAGACGCGAGAAAGGAGGATACAGACCTAAGAAAGGGCATTTTTGAACATCAACAGAATGTTTAGTATCTAATTTTTAAGTAAGAATTAAAAAGCACATTAAAAACTGCATCTTTTACTTTTAAAAGCAGGTCCCATGTGTCTTCTTACTTTCTGTTTCCCCATAGCAACAAGCCTAGCTCTAGGCACACAATGGGTGCTTTGTTAACTGCTTCTTGATTTAGATTTCACAGAAGCTGTCAGATGTGACAAATTCTTTCAGATTTAATCTTTCAGATAACCTAGACCTTTTTCTGTAGACACAGGGCCCCTACCTTCTCCCCTACCCTGTCAGCTGAGCACTGTGAAAGTACAGCTTTACTTAGGAGTTAAATGTTTCTACAGTAATTCGTAACTCTGAAGAGTGCTCCATGCCGACAAGTTAACTTGACTGCTTCCTTGTGAGTGATTTATTCTATAGATCTACGAAGGACTCTGTGACAGAAAGAACTGCATAACCAAGTCTTATGTGTTTTTTTTGGTTTTTTTTAGCTGAGTCATCCTGCCACCTGTTGGCAGCACAGCGGCAGCTCAGCTCAGGCCGGGCATCAAACCACTGTTGCTCAGAGCTCACACTCTTGAGCAAGCTCTTAACCAACTGAGCCACTCGGCCGGCCCCAAGTCTTGTGTTTTTACTTTTAAATGTATTTCTCTGACTTCCCCCTTTCAGCTCTCCTCAAGATATCAACTAAAATGATGAAGATATGCCTAACTTAGTGAATTTCCAGTAACAGTTAATATTTTTTTCTCCTAATACCATGAACAGTAATTTACCCTTTAAGTTGTGAATTGGACTAAATGTGGGCCCTGTGCCTGGTCCTCATACGGCCTTCACTGCCCTTGAGGGAGAGCCGTGTGGGCACAGAGGACATCTGTTTCTTGAAACTGAGTTGTTGGAACAGTATTTTATAGCACTTTTCATCCTTGAATCTTTTTTTTAAACTTAGAATGTATTTTTAAAAGTTAATGTACAGCTAATTATAGCATTTTACAAAAAAAAATCAGCTCTGTGAATTATCAGGCCCCATACTTCTTGACTCATTAGTCTTTGTGTGTGACATGTGACGTGCCATTGAGTCGGCTGTGACTCCTGGTGATCCCACGAATGAGTGACGTCCACAGTGTCCTGTCCCCAACAGGCCTGCTCAGCTCCTGGAGACTCAGCCTCTGGCTTCTTTTGTGGAGTCATCCATCCCATGTTTGGCTTTCCTCTTTCCTCTGCCTCTTGTTTTCCCAGCATTCTTGTCTTTTCCAGAGAACCCGGCCTTGTCACGATGTGCCCGAAGTAGGACCGCTTCAGTTTTGTCACTTTGCCTCCAGCCGTGTCCCAGGCTTAGTTTGCTCTGACGTACTAGTGCGTCTTTGTGGAGGTCCAGGGTGTCCCAGAGCTCTCCCCCAGTGCCGAATTTCAAATGAATCGTTTTTTTCCTCTCAGCCTCTTCTTCACTGTCCAGCTTTCACTTCCATACATAGGAATTGGGAACACGAGGGGGTGGCTGGTCTTAGCTTGGTCCCTAATGACACATCTGTGCTCTTGGTCATCTTTCCTAGTTCTTCCACTGCTGTCCGTCCCAGCCTCAGCCTTCTCGTGATTTCTTGGCTGCATCTCATGGAATTGGTTGCATTAGGTAATATTATTTTGTCAGGGGTCTGATATAAAGATTATTGTAAAGGAATTAAATATATAGAGGCTCAATATTTTTTTAAAGCCATGTTCCCACACCTCCATTACAAGCAATATCTTGGGGTCAGTTGTTAGTGATAGACTACCTTTTGTATGCTTCTTAAATAGAGAAGATGAAAAATAATAAACTAACCATATTACAGGTAAGAAGTTTTTAGTCCACCTGTGTTTTACAGGAGTTTGCCCTCCACATGTTTGAGAGGGAAGTCAAATAAGTTAGGAGAATATCTTTTCAAAAGTAGAGTGATGGGCCAGCCAAGTGGCGCGATGGTTAAGAACTGGCTTGGGACGCCAGAGGGCCCTGGTTTGGATCCCACATATGAGGGCCAGTGACACTGCCCTCCACAGCTAAGATGCTGAACAACAGCTCAACCTGGAGCT